ATTAAAACAAATAAGCAAATAATATTAAAAACTTTTTTTTTTGTTAAAGTTATAAAACAACCAATTCTATGTTTAAAAAAGGATTCTATAATTTTCTATATGACTACATGTTATCTTAAGTTGAAATATCACACATCTTTTAAATTTTACGCATTTAGCATAAATTTTAAATTTTATTATAAATTTAGTCGAACCATAAATTTTTTTTTGAATCCGCCCCAATCGTTTTTTACAAAAAAATATTATACAAAATTTTAAGACTTTTTTTAATATTGGTTTATAAGATTTTTTTTCCTAACCTTTTTTTTTGTAAAAATTCTTTTACGATATTTTTTTAAATCTTTTTTAAAACTCACGTTACCTTAATAACATAGGCAAACCAATTTTCTTCGATGACTATATGTCATTTGCATTTGATTTTGCATTATCAAGTAATCGATTTTATATTTTAAAAGTTAAAACATAATATTTCTAACAAAAATAAATTCAATGTCAAAATTATAAGGCAAAATATGGTAAATGAGGGGTTCTAAAGAAACAACTTATGATATGTATGATATAAAGTATATGATTGTTTATTTTATAGATATGAATATAAAAAAATGGCTGTTTTGGCATATCTAAACTAGTTGGATGGTTATAAGAATTGCCCTATGTAATATTTAATCAACTATACATATAAGTAATGTTAATTATTTTTATGAAACCGAATAATCTACTTGGACAATTTTGATTTGACTATATGCTTTCAATATTTTGATTTTTGAATTGGTTTTAATGAAAAATCGAATTATTATTTTGGATTTTGAATTAATTTTGGTTTATAAAACAAGAACCAGTTAGTCAAAAAATAAAAAATAAAAAAATAATAACAAATTACATTTTATTTTTATTTATTTTTATATTTTTTAACTTAAATATATATCTTTTTAAAAAAAGAAATAGATTACAAAAAATCTCATCAAAACTGTAATATATATTTCTCTTCTAATCTTTTTTTATATGTATAATACTAAATTATAATATGTTTTTTTTTTATAAATTTTAGTTTACAAATAAACAGTTGGTTTTTATTTATTTTATAGAGTCGACTAATATTTAAATTATATATTTGTAAAAATATCATGACTTTTGAAAACCAAATTGTAAAATCTAATCCAACTAAATTATAAATTGATTAGTTCGAATCAGATTTGAATTTAATTTAAACTATTTAAATTTATATTTTGAAAAGCGAATTCAATATTCATGGGATTGAACCAAACCATCCAAATATTGAAAAAACTCGACATAACTAAAAATACAATATGTTTTGCAAAAATGTTTTCTTACATTAGTGATCCAAATAAACGCCCAACCTTTTTGTCAAACTCGATAAAACTAAAAATACAATAAGTTTTGCGAAAATGCTTTCTTACATTAGTGAAGGTTGATAAGTGGTCACCCTTCCAACCTCTGTCAAACTCGATAAAAGACTCTACCCATACAACCTCTCAGTCTCACTCATTCATTCTTCTCCTAAATTTTCTTTCAAAAAACAAAATAAAAAAAAACTTTACTCGTAAACATCCAAAGGGATAATTATTTATTCAACGAATACGATTCGTAGACGTCCCCACCAAAAGAGAGGAAATGGCACGTGCGTCCCTCAAGAACACAACACACCATCATTAATCGAAGTGGAACTGTTGAAGCATTTGGCATTATAATTAATTAATGATTTAATAAAGTGGTCAAATCTAATAATTCTTCATTATGACAAGATATGAAATTGGGAATAATATAAACAATAAAGTGGATTCATCCGTATATTACTAATTTTGTTTCTCTTTCCGCAATTGATGGCGGCCTCTTTTTACCACTTTAATATAAACAACATTCTATTTCTATGATTTTATTCGATATTGTCACTTACAAGTTACAATTATAGTTTCTAATAGTAAATAATTGGTTTGTAACATTTAACGCATATATACGTTTTCGAAATTTTATTAAATATAATTTGGAGTCCTCGAAAAATTAGAAGCTTAATGGATATTGTTTTTTATGTTGGGTTCAGGTTTTCTTATTTAAAACAAAAGTGAAAAGTACAAACAAAGATGTTATTTATATTTAATAAAGAACACAAGCATTAATTGAAACTTAGTGTGATGTGTTAGGAATATGTTAATTGTTCGTATAGATAAAAACTTACGAATCGCTTCTCTTAAAAAATATGTATATTGCCGCTAGAAAAAAAAAAAAACAAATCATTTAAGCAACCACAATGATTTTCGTTAGTTGGAAAAACCACCCATTACACTTGGAATACCTTTGCGATCAACTGTAAATCACAAACAAAAGTAGGAGAAATAAAGTGATTGTTAAGCCTTGATATGTTTTTTCGAAAAAAAAGCGAGAACTTTTTTTTTGGATAGTCTCGAGGTTCATGCAATATTTTTTAGTAAGATATAGTTTGAAACGAAACATTATAGTTATAAAAACTTTAACTTATTTTATGTATTTTTCATATATGCGTTATAATTGTCTTCTTTTATAAAAAGTCATTAGGTCTCTGTAACAAAGTTTTATTACAAAAATATGTTGATTTTGAGCATAAGAGAAATAAAATATTCTTTTATTTTTGTTCCTAGAAATCTTCCTACCTAATTAAATGATGACATATGTCATATTAGATCATTTCTAACCCACTCTCATTTCCATTTTTTCTCCCATTTTTACCTCCATTCTTCTCCAACCCACCCTCATTCATTCCCTCATTTTGGGGGATATGAATAGTATTACACCAAATATAATGTTATACTATTCATTTTCTCCCAAAATGAGGATGAACTTTGTGTTATCGGTTTTAGTCCCTCTGTTTATATATTTATACATTTTTAATTTATTTTTACCTACTAATTATAATTTAAATATAATATTTAATATTTATAATATTTTGTTATATATTAAATTATATTAACTAATTATAAATATAAAGTTTGTGTTTTGTTCATCAAATTCTTATAAAAAGTTAAATACATATTGGAATTTTAAAAAACGATAACGTATTTTACAAAAGCTTATAAATATGTTATAAATATAATCTTATTTATTTCATATTATTGTAATGAAAAAAATATAAATTATATTTTTGTTAAAAACAAATTAATAGAAGATGTGTGTTTGACAACCCATGTAAGTTGGAAGAATAGAATATATTTTTTAGGATAAAAAATAGGGTAAAAAATGGAGTAGGGTTGGAGATGAAACATATTTACCTTATTTTTTACTCTATTTTTGGGAGGAAAAATGGAAGTGAGTTGAAGATGGTCTTAATATACTAAAATATCATTAAATATTACTCACTATTTAATTGGATAGTAGAATTTATAGGAATAAAAAAATAGGAGGATATTTAATTTCTCTGAACATAAAGACGAGACGTCAGAGATATTTTAAATATTCAGTTACCCCTAAATGTTTATAATTCATGTTTTTTAGAACGAACATTGAGTCACTTTAATGTTCATAAAGCATTATCAGAGAAAGCACTCTTATATCAGCAAATGTCTAAAATATATAATTATATAATAGATTATATAGATGATCCAATTAAAGGAAAGTTGTGGAAGATCACATCATTCTAAGTTGTTTTTCGGTCTTCTTTTACAAAATCACGTCTTGTAGTTCATAACTACTCGATCTTTCTTTAACCAAGAAGGATGAATTAATTTATAAGTTGCATTCGGCTTTCACTTTTAGCACTTAAGATTTATTCAGCTCTTCTTTATTTCATTCATGGATCATTTAAGCAACCTTGTTCGTATTCTCTTTTCACTAAACAAAAAAAGGCAACTGTAAAGAGGTAGATCGTCATCTTCATTTAACGTTTCTTCTTTACATAATATCAAGACGTTTAGGTTTGAAAAAGTCATCGTTTAACTTATACGAGTATTCATCACAAAATAAGAGATGATTACGAGGACCAAGCGATGTGACTTTATCGGGAATACACCTGTCGCGAATTCAAAAGCGAGCTAAATGCATATTTGTTGGGTTGGCGTTTATTTCGATTGAAAATGGCAACAATTAATTATAAAAAGCACTCAAAACGTTTTTTTAATATTGTTTAGAAGTTGTGAATTTTATTTTTTGGAACGACAAAACATTGTAAAAAGCTATCAAGAATGTAGAGTAATTACAAAGTATAAGTTAGTGAGTTCATCTTATATTTTTTCCTCCTATTACAAATTCAACAAAACAATTTAGCAACTACGTCATAAAAAATCACAGCATTCTTAAGCTTCATCGATCCAAAAATTTGAATGTTACAAAAATTCTGTAACACCCAAAGAGCAGTGACAATAATCACATACTGATAAATAATAACATCGACAGACAAGTCTCTCGGGACTTCACATACCACCATCGGCCAATAATATGACAAATACGAATAGTATTTAAATGACAAAATTGCAGTACGACCTCAGTTTTTTCTTATGTTTTTTTGAAGTTTTTTCTATGTTTTTTTTGAAATTAACCCAAGAAAAAATTAGATACCCCCTTTCAGCTACCAAAAGAAAAAAAAAATTAAGACTTTTCAAAAATATCCACTTTCTAAGATTCAATTAAAAAATGTGTTTAACGTTCTTTACCTGCAAAAGGCAAATAGGAAAATGACAAATCTAATAAAGTGAGATTTTATCTTTAAAGTTTTAACCATATATATATTTACATTAGGAAAAATGACAAAATTAATATATTTTATTTTTTAAGTTTTAACCATTTCTTTTTAACAACTAAATGCTTCACTATTATTAAATGAGTTAGTAACATGTCAGACAAAAATTACATCAGGATACAATTCCATGGGTTTTTGAGCTGGTCAGTCCAATTGATACTAGGTTTATGATTTATGTTATTAAGCCAATTTAAAAAACGAAGAACCGATTATATAATGCCATCTTTCTTCATCATTTTGTCATCAAACAACAAAACAACAAAGAGTTTTAAATCCTTCAAATCATCCACCACATCAACCCTAAAATCACCTCGACAACATCTTTTTGGCTTTGAAATCCGTAAAGCATCCATTCCAAGGAAACATAACCATCACCAACTCGACCGAACACCGGGCAATTGATATCAATCCACCTAGCGATTGAATTCCAAGTCTTAACAATGATCTCACAGTTCACGAACAAATGATCCTTGTCTTCACTCACCTCATTGCATACGAGACATAAAATAGAAAGGACATCTATACCTATGGAATCGAGATTTACTGTAGTGGCCAAACGGATCAATAGAAGTCTCCAAACAAACATGTTCACTTTTATCAGGAGAAAAGGGTTCTACCTCGTAGTCATACCTTCATCCTGGAGTAAATAGTCATCTATGTGTCGTCTAGTGATATTAATCATGAACATGCCAGTAGTATCAATATCTCACATATATTTATTTAGTTGTTCCCTCGGTCGTAAGTGCACAAATATTTTTAAGGTTTTGCAATTGCTCAGACACAGCTCCACCTCTAACATGTCTTCGCCAACTCCACATCCACGTTTCATTTTGCTAACGATTAGAGATAGAACAATCTTTATATACTTCTTAGTTAAATAGTCTAGGAAATAGACTACTTAAAGGAACATTTCCCAACCACACCTTTCTAAGATTATCATGGAGAATAATACATTTATCATTCTTAGAATTTATAACTTTGAAAACCCGAGATCACACACGACTGTCTTAGTTTTGAGCATCCGTAACCCAAAACCCACCTTGCACTCCATGCAGTGATCTAATCACTTTTCCCCACAACACTTTATCTTCTATAACAAACCGTCGTCTCTGCTTTTTACAACAAAGTTTGGTTAAATACGTCCAAGCTACCTGTATCCAAACCATCTTTATCTTTAGCAGCAATAATAAGATCTCGCCTTACCCAATGTATCCACCTATCCAACTTATCTCCACCCCCCCCCCCCCCCCCCCAAAAAAAAAGCATGAAGTCTTTATAACATTTTGATTAGAGCTACTACATATGGAAAATCGACATGAAATAAATCCCCAATGAGCCTAAAACCAATGTCAACAACATATATTTACCGTAGGAAAAATGACTTTGTACAGTAACGAATGGTATCTAAGGGGTTGTTTCTGTATAGGGTGTGAGTAGAGCCGATTGCGGGAGCAGAGACGTACAACTATTTCACCTGACATCTGAGGTGAGTTCTCCTCCTGGTTTGAACGGGTCGAAGGCACCAAGGCCGGCCCTTATATGTATCTCATAGATACCCGAGTGTGGGCGAGGCCCATATCTCGTAGCATTATTTGAGTATGGATGTAAGACTGATTGATATATTTGATTATACTTGTTGTCTGTGTGATACTTGTATGCATGCTTAGTAGCTGAGTGTGGGCGGGGCCCGTATCTTATAGTTAGCCGAGTGTGGGCGGGGCCTGTATCTCATAGTTAGCAGAGTGTGGGTAGGGCCCGTATCTCGTAGTCAGTAGTGTGTGGGCGGAGCCCGTATCTCCTAGTTAGCGGAGTATGGGCGGGGCCCGTATCTCCTCGAGTGTGGGTGGGGCCCGTATATCCTAGTAGCATGATTATGTGTATGGTATGTGGTAGTTTAGTGAGACTCACTAAGCTTCGTGCTTACAGTTTTCAGTTTTGATTTCAGGTACTTCCGGTAGCAAGGGGAAGAGCTCGGGATGATTGTAGTGCACACACCATTTGTTTAGCCTGGGATGTTTATACTCTGATATGTATATTTGATAAATTTTATGATATTTGAGATACACGACTTATGATTTTTATATGATGATTGATGACTATGGTTTTCTTAATGTTTTAAAAATGAAAATTTTTGACCGTATTTTTGGGATGTTTCACTAACCGTTGATGCCTTCCGAGATACACAATCCATGCTCCCACCAATCCCTACTCCGATAATAGTATTGATCGATGAAGGTTCTCCAACCCGGAAACCTAATGATCTCCCAAAAGAGCCCCTGGTTACTCCTCCACCCGAATTCATCATCTCTGAAACAGTCCAACAAATCATCCCTAACCTAAATGAGCCACCTCAAGACAAAGGAAATAAGATTGCTACTGAACCAGATAGCCCAGTGAAGACGTTCAAAAAGTCTGAGGGCTGGTCTCAAGAACAGATAGATCAAGCCTTGGAAGAAAGCATCAGGATTCAAGCACTGAAAGACAATCTAAATCCGATGTTGGGCATATCTCCTCTTTTCCGAGAAGGAGTTATTCACGATATTGATTTTGTGCCCTTCATGTACTATGCTCTTCCAACTCAGGATTCTGACCAAATTGATCTTCTAATCTCTACTCATGGTAAATTCTACATCAAGTACACTCCTCTTCATCCGAATGATGATCGAAAAACGATCATTAGGACAGAGCGTTAGATATTGAGAACTTTCTACTCCGTTAACACATGTCCTCAAAAAGAAGTGTGGTCTCGGAAGCAGATTACAAAGATCGTTGGATTCGGAAACAAGTTTTAGAGCCATTTCAATCTCAACTGTATATTGTACAGATACTATGTCTCTCGGAATAAAAAAGCAACTCTCACTCTCACTGATGCCGACTTTCCCTCAATCAACCCCAATGGCATTCTCACAATTGTTGCTCACCTCCGAGATCACCAAACTAATCACTCAAGCATCGGAGCTTACAGTGCTGCAATCAATTTTTTTGAAAGACTATGTTGCAAAATTCTGCAGGTCCGACATTGTGTTTGCACACTTGTTCGGAACCGAAATGTTTTGGTGAAAATCACTTATGAATTGCCTGAAGCTCAAATCTTGGCAGAAGGAACCATTGATTATCCGAAACTCGGATACGTCTATATAAAAAACAAGACCAACCGAAAATAATTCTTTTAATTTCTTGACAAACACTTGGTTCCATCAAAGATCCTCAAAAAGTTCATCTCCAACGCTGCAAAAAGTGAAGCTCCTGAGCATGTGAACAAGAAGTTCATTGAACACCTGAAATAGTACTTGGAAGTTCGAAGCTGGCTACAAAAGTTCCTATATCTTTGTGTCTGATGAAACCCACTGAGTTGATTGATTTCTAGGTTCACTTAAGGGGAGATTGTTAATGCATAAAAGTGAACCTCTAGCAATCCGAGCCAAACCAGATCCGAAGTCAACCTCAGTCCGAGATGTGAAGAGTTCCAAAGTCTATCCTATTCCGAGATGAAGACTGTTCCGAAGTTAATCTTTTGACATGATAGAGTCTGTACAAGCATTAAATGCTTTTTGTCTTTTTGTTGATTGAACAGTTCTTAGGACCAAATCAATAAGTCTTTGAAGTGTCAGATTTGTCAAACACTTTGTATTATCTAGTCCATAGAATGTTCTTGGTTTGTACTGTGTCTCTCCTTTACTATTTAAGGAGATGATATTTCATGGTTTGTAAGCAAGAAATAGAACTATTCTCTTCACATCAATTACAAATTTTCTTGCAAGTCAAATCTCTTTCACTTCCGTTCTTCTTTTTCTTAAATTGTCTTTACTCTGTTCTTACTTATTTTACTTACTTGAATACTTTGTTGAATATCATATTCAAGTCTTGATTGGTTTACCAGACTTGACTGGACCAAAATATTAGCAACAAACATTGATCTTAAAAGTTAATTCAAGGTTTGAGTTTTCAAACTTTGTCCGCGCACTGAATCTTGTACTCACAATTTCATCTCATTTTAGTAATTCTCATGCATATTTTCTCCTTTTTGTTATTTTCATCTTTATCGGGTATTTTCTAGTCTTTTGAGATTAATTGTAGGATTTATCAAGACTATTCAACACGGAGGATGGGGGAATAGGGGACCTTTTGAAGCTCGCGGTTTACTTATGGGCTAAGCTATGGAACTCTTAGACTTGGATTGCAAGGAAGAAGACAATCAGGGTTATTGCCAATATGATGATGGAGCAAGTTTGATTTAATCTTGATTGAAGAATAATGATGAGGAAAATACAAGCTTTGGAAGATAAAAGGAGCAATGGGCCATCTTGGGAGAGTTTAGAAGACACGTTTGGGCTATCAAGAACCTTGCATATAGCCTGGAGCAAGATTTGAAGTATCGAGGAAAGAAGCCCATTTGAAGATGGGCCTGGAGCAAGATTTGAAGTATTGAGGAAAGAAGCCCATTTGAAGATGGGCTAAATTGGCCCAACCAGCGTATCCATGTAGTCCGCGTGGATTTGCAAACGGTCCGCGTGGATCGTGTTGTGAAGGATCCAAATTTTAGCCTTTTGCCACTATTTGGGGAAAATTGATGGGATACTTTTGGGAATCTTTTTCATCTGGGTTTGAAACCCTTTTTGTCTGAGTTTTGGAGGAGAAAAAGAAGAGAACTCTAGAGAAGAAGTGAGACATTTTGCTCTCAAGAAGATTTTAAAGATTTTAAGATTTTTTCATCTTTCATCTTGAACAATGTTTGGTATTTCTAATCTATCTTTTTTTTTACTTATTCTTAGCCATGCTAGGCTAGATTTATATTTGGTTGATGTTGGTTTAACCCATGGATGATTAGTTACTTTGAAGACTTCTTATGAACTTGTGTTTGAAATTTATGGGAATGTTTCCTAGTTAAACTTCTTCTTGTGTTTGTTTGTCCTTGATCATGAGCTTGGATGAATGAATGTCTATTTTGTTGGCTAATTTTTTTGTTATGTAATGGGCCTTAAAATTAGTAAGCAACAAATGGTTTATATGTTTGTTTTCATTTCATTTAAGCCATGGAAATATTTTCTCCATAATGATAATTTAAGCATTTAATTATCTTTTGGACTTGGTAACTCTTAAAACTTAATGCTAGTTGATTTTCACAGAATTACATGCGTTATTGGTTTTGTGACTTTGACTAAGGAAATGTGTTTTGAGCTCCTCTAACCATTTTAATAACAAAGAAGAGTTGAGGTAATTTGTGCTTATGAATTGCTATAGCCAAGTTAAATTAAATCACAAGTGTTGCTTCATTTTGTCTAATGATAAGTTAACTATGAAATCCATGTGGTGTATTCCAAAGTCAACCAATTTCCCTTCATTAATGTAAATCAAATCCTTTACTTGTTTATTTATGATATCTGCATTCAAGCATAGTTTTAGTTTTCTCAAAACAATCAAAAAGATTTAAACCCCCATTTTACTTTTATTTTTGTTTTGTAAGTACTTAAACAAGTGCTTTCATAGAGATACAAATTGAACCAATCTCTGCGGATACAATCCCTTTACCATTATACATTATTTTGTGTGCAAGATTTAGGGTTATTTATTTTGTTGGCCTCGACA